AAAATCTAATAAATTTTTTTCTGGGTAGTGGCTGTTGGCTGTCCCAAAAAACTACACCTTACTGTTTACTGCAATAATTTGAAATCTATAACTTATGAAACAAGGTAGTCGTCAGTGTCGCATTAACCGTGGTGCAGTTGTGCCAGGATCCCAAGCAGTGAAGGGCCCCTACTGATGATCCGGACCATCAGTTTAACTCTCTATATTTCAATAAATCTTCATATTTTATCTGTTATTTGTTCTATTCTTACTCAATACAGACTAGATCAATTTGACCGACCTCATAACCACCATAAAAAATACATAATAAATCAAAATTACCATATTTTCTTTCTAGAATTACTTCAAACTGTAGCAGGAAACAACATTTCTTTACACTAAATAGTTAAAAACTTCTTAACCTTATACAACTGGTCGTAATTAAACTTTATTGTTTTATTGCCTTTTAGACTGTGATATTTAAAATTCCTGCCATAAGAAGTATCAAAATATGTGGTAACATGAAGCAAGTGTTACACTGACCAAGTTACATAAAGCTTGTGCTACTCATAAGCTATTAGTCCTAGTGTACCTCATAGAAAAATTTTATTATTATTATCATTATATTTATTTATATTACCTAATTTAACTTTATCTAACCTAAAGGGTTTTAAGTTTTACATTGTTAATTACTTTTATAATAATAAATAATGAATAGATATGAAAAACAAGAAATATATCACTCACCTGTGTAGTTGTTATTTTTTGCCATCGACTGTCCTTCTATGTTAGCCCTACTACTTTACATCAATGCTACTAGTCCACAAAATATTTTTTTTAAGTAAATAATGCAGGGAATAGCATAGAATAATTATATGTGAACAGCTGAGAAATTTTCTGGCTCTCTAATCACGTGACTTGAGTAGTTAGAAATTTAACTTTAGCTCTCCCACTATATTTTAGTGGGAAAAATTGTTTTATTTTCAGCTAAGTTGTCAATTAACTGTAACATCATGTGGTATAAAACATATGATAGTCAATCAGTTGAAATCTAAGCTATCTATTGGTTATAAATTTAATGGGAGTTGGCCTTAGAAAAATCTATTAACAAATTGTAATTTACAGCAAGGTAGAGGTAGGCATGGAGAGTGGGTCAAAATTATATATATTCATTTGACCTTTTAATTATTACTCATCCGTTCAGTTTAACTATTAAAAGTGCTTTGTACATAAGAAAGCCTTGAAGTACAAAAGTTTATAAAACTTCAGCAAAAAATAAGTATTTTTTAAAACTTAATGTATAAATAGTGTTACGTCTCCGTTTGTTAATTGATTTTTTTCCGTAACTTCGTTCCAACGAAACTTTAACGACACAAGTCTTTACTTAATAAAACTGGTTTATTTATTCCGAATATAACTTTACCGATACACTCAACTTCAACAATCGTGCTAAAACAAACGCTATATCAACGAACGTCAATAATACTTCTGACTGCAGATCAATTACACACTGTCTACACACATTACATTCCCCTCTTTTATATACCAGCCTACCCTATATCTAGTAAGAACTAGAACATTCGCCAAAGTACATGATAGTTCTAGAAACGTTGCGTCACAGTAGTCATGTGACTCGATGACGCAACAATAGTTTTATTTTATAATATATTCCCTAAATATCTTTGCACTGCTTGCTAAACTGTTTTATTGACCTATCTAGTCAATAAATGACAACATAAAGCAACTAATATATCATGGGGCATGATATGACCATTAATTTTTTTATAATTAAAGTGAATGAAAATTAAATTGTTACCCTTAACTTTATATAGAAAATAGAGCTAAGAGCAACTAGGGGATATATTATTTTATTTTGGCATATCTTTTTCAAATGTAATTGTTAAATTACTTGCATTCATGAACATATGCAATAAATGTGCACATTTCTTATATTACGTAATCATAGAATAATTCTTGAAAATAATTTTCAACTTTTAATTATCTCAGCAATTGGCATTCTAAAACATGGAAAGAAAATACAAAAGTGGTTTCTAGAAAAGGAAAAACAAAAGGGGAAACTAGAAAAGTAAAAACCTGTTTTAGAACAAAACTCCCAAGCTGTTCAAGTTTTTCTCAGTTTGTAAGGAAACAGAGGAGCAGAACAACCCAACCAGTCCTTTCAACGACAAAGCTTCTACCCTGAGTGATTCTCAACCCACTGTAACAACTAAGAATTCTAGCACAAGTGCAGCTTCATCCCCTTATGATTCGAAAAGGGAAAGAGCATGTCAGATTGAAAATCTCACTACTAACTCTGGCAAGGAAGACAATATCCAGCATTATGGCCAGTGGACAGGAAAAGAATAATAGAATTTTGGATTCACAAAAATATGATTCCAGAGCAAGATTTTTCAGCATCAAAGAGAGGTATACATTCAACAGATGTTCAGAGATGCTGTTCATTGAACTTTAAGATTAAACTAAAAAATGGCAAAACAACAAAAAAAAGAGATTTGTTGATCTATTCTCTTTTTTCTCTTAAGAATCTCAGTAGAACAAGATGGTCAGCCAGACCAGTTTCAACAAAAATTATGTATTAAAACTACGACAGAATTTATACCAACCTTAAAGATTTATCTAGGGATATTGATGTAAGGCAAACAGCAAGAAATTAAACTACTGCTTTGATGAATAAAATGAGAACGTTAGATATTGCTTTTATGACAGTGTTTGGTATAAAAATATTCGAAGATGTGATGCTACAAGTGCTAAACTTCAAGAAGAGAGCATTAATTTATCTACTGCTGTAAAGGAATACATAAATTGACTATGTGAAGAATTCGACAGAATCGAAATTCAAACTCATCGGGTTTCAAATATAGTAGAAGAACAGTTTAGGAATGAGATTTCTAGAAAAAGAAAAAGAAAGCTGGCAAGTGATGAGACTTCTGAAGGTGAAATTAGTTTACCTGGAACTCAGAAGTTTCTCATAGAAAATTTTATACTGTTAGTTGACAAGTTACAAATGTGTTTGGAAGGTCGGCTTGTTGCATATAAAGCAACAGAAATGAAGTTTGGTTTTCTATCTAATTTCAAAAATTTAACTGAGACTGAAATGTTTGCTGTAGCTAAAAGATTGGGAGACATAGACTCTCCAGATCTAGACAGCTCTTTTCCCAATAAAATGATACAGTTTGTGAAATTTTTTATTGTGAAACACCATCTGCCCAACAAAGCATCCAAGCAATCAGAAAAAATAAACTTGAATCTGTTTTTCCTAATGTTGATATGGCATTAAGAATATACTTGTGCCTACCTGCCTTGAACTGCAGTGCAGAGAGAGCTTTTTCTAAAATGTCTGAAGAAAAAAATGAATTGTGTGCTTCAATGTTAAATGAATGCTTAAATGCCCTTTCCTTGCACAAGATAGAAAGGACATTGGTTATGCAAATAGATTATGAAGATGTAATCAAAGATTTTACTTATGCCAAAGCAAGGAAAAACATGATTTTAGGGTAATGTTTTGTCATGCTTTCGTAATGTTGTACAATAACTATATTGTTTTTTATGTACATAATTCATTCTTACTTGTCATGTTGTACAAGTAAATAATTGTTATTATAATCGTTTAATTTGAATATATCATCCTTAAACGTTAGATGCATCATATTCTAATTTACTTTGAATAATTAACTCATATTCTGTAATTAACTTCAAATTTGCTTGTACTCTATTCAAGGGGCCTAGAAAAATAAGTGCTCCAGGCCCTCAAACTACCTTAATGTGAGCTTGGTAGTTGTCCTTCAAACCACTGATTGTTTTATCTTATTTTACAAGATGACATGTGACATCCCCAAACCTGTTTAATTAATATTTCATTCCCTCCACATATTTCACTGTATTTATCTTTTCCTCTTTGCATCTATTATTTTTGCAGATAACTACAGAAGAGATTTGATTAATTTAGCATAAAATAGCTATTTACAATATTTACACATAACAAGTGCAATGTTTAAAAATTTAATTTTACTAGAAGCATTCAAAAACACAAGAACCAGCAGCACCTCTCTTTTAACAAGTGTGAAAAGATACATTATGATAGATTGGAAGCCTTAATTATCATATTATAATGCTTATAAACCAATAATATGGGAATTTAGCCCACAGTCGTGGCTACATTCCACATAAAAATCAATGTGACTGTTGATTAGATGGCCGAAAGAATATTTTTTTTAAACACATTTGTCGGCTTGTTAGTTTCATTTCTTGGCAAAACATTAGTACACATTTACTAGTTTGTCAAAAACAATGGATTATGGGTTTACATATCATCAAAATATTTATCTCATGTTTCTTGTTATGGCTAAAAAAATAGAACAAATCATTAAATGATGGTGATAATAAAGAACTATAAACTGATTGCCCTGTATCTGGATCAGGTATTTTCTTGGTTTCTATTTCTACTGTTTCTTTTGGTAAACTGAACACCAAACCAAAAACTTAACCATGTATCAGGAAGATTATTTTAAATTTGGTTTCACTTACAGAGTTGATAATAATGAAGAATAACCTCAGTGAGTTATTTGTTACAGATTTTAGCTGATAGTCAAATTTAGTCAAATAAACAAAAGAAATTATTCCTTAATAACCCCGAACAGTATAAAATAGATATTTCATTTGAATTTGGTACTTTATTCAATAAGGAGAATAGGAAAAAAAGTTAATTAGAATGTTTCAGTAAAAAAAAGAACAGAATAACTAACTGCATTAAATACAATATATTTAGTAAGATATAAAATGATGGTCAATTAAATGAAGACTACTAATTACTAAAAATATAAAATAGGTAACTTACTTAAATAGTTAGGATTTATCTGGTATAATTCATTTAAACATAGATAACTTAATTAAAACAATTGAATAGCAGAAAAAGCAAATTATGTTTACTTTTATAGTGCTTACTGTAAATGTTCCTTCTTCTGTAAAGAACAAAAATGAATTGTTTTTTTAAAGAAAAATACCTGTACTGCATCAGTAGCACACTTGTTAGCCACATCACTAGCCAAAGCTTTGGCTATTGAAGCCCAATATGTGTTCCTTCTACCTTGGTCGATCTCCCAGGCTGCCCTTAAGTATGCCAAGCGGGATGTTTCTACTCCAATAGTCATCTCAGCCAACATAAACTGGACTGCTTGGTGCTGAGATTTCAAAAAATGAGCTTAGAATAATAATTCTATGAATCTTATTCATACATTTTTTTAAGAATTACTTTGATAAAAGATATGTAATATTAATAGAACAGAAAGAACTGTTGACTACATGGATATTACTTCATATCTACTTGTAATTTTAAAATGTGTTTTGGTATTACAATATTCTATATTAATTCCCATTTTGTTTCTGCTTGAGTAGAAAATTAATTTTTTATTTAACTCCAATGATACCAGTATACTGTTCCAAAGTATTATAATACAATATACTAGTATTTGTTTATTTTAAGTTCACAGAACTCAATCAATTTCATTTACATACATATTAATATGTTGCTTCTTCTAACACCAAGTAGATTAAATTTTGCATTACATATCTAATCAATAAACAATTAATAGTTCAAAATTATTTGGGCTAACCCCATCTAGCAAATAACAGTTTCCTGCATTTTCACTCAGATTAACTCGTACATATCAGTCACAATACCTATATAGCTATATGCTGCTATGCAATACATTTAAAACCACTGACTTGAAAGTTAATGGACATAGCACGTATATCAATATCTATGTCTGTAACCAAAACTCATGTACCATCAACTGAATGGCACCACAAACAAAACTCCACAGAAAATTTTACACTTTGGGTATTCAAGATTCAGACAATTACAAAAATAACTACAGTATGTGTAACAACCATTTCTTTATAATAGAACATAATTTTAAACGAAAGTACCCTCCTCACAACAAGAACACAACTTTCACTAGAACTATAAATGAGGGTTTGATTATAACATTATTGACGTAATTTTTAAATGTAATACTGAGAAACTGACTTCTTTAAAAAACAATTATTTTTTCAATAAACAGAACAACATTTAATATATAAAAACATTACAGTTTAATCCTATGATTAGTAATTACTAGCACAAACAGCTGCCCATAATGCAGCATTTCTGCTTGTAAAACACAACCACAGGTTGAACAATATCACATATATTTATTGAAAGAAAATTTCCTGCATCTTAAAAGTTTACTGTTTTCAAATAATTTGAGCTATAAAAAAACACCAAACATGAACAAAGACCACACATTTATGGCTATGTAAAATTTTTTACTTAACTGGGTGGGAAGATATTTCTATTCCAAAAGTAAAAATTAAATTATCAGGAGAAAAAAAAACTTAAATTAGGATTAGCAGTTTGTATTTTTTTAACTCTATTGAAACAGGTCTTCCTATGGTCACAGGTCAAAGCCATGTCATCCCATTTGTAGACTCACATTTAAAATTTTATTAAACTACTATTTTATGAATGTATGTCAATAAGTTTGGTATCATATTTCATATTGTAACTCAAATTTTAGTATTATACATAAAAGTAAATATTAAAAAAGAAAATCCTAAATATTGATTTTTGTATGTCACGTGGTATGGTGAATGCATCATTGATTCAAATTAAATGTTTGTAATGTTCAAATACAAGGTCTATATTTTTTTATGAATTAAATACTCAAATTACCGATATTGAAAAGCTAGAATATAAGATAAGAACCTCTTATCTTTTCTATTTTCTGAGATATTAATATATTTATGAATCAACCAAGGTGGCCCCACCTACCTCTTTCATTTTTGAGAATACTTACTTACGTATAACTATTTCACCCAAGGATGAATGAAATAAAAGCTCAGAATGTCCCTTAGTAGTTTTCTCAGCCTTTGCAAAATATTTGCACAGGAAATCTTGCTTTTCGTGCTAGATTTACACTAGTAAGGTAAGACATTAGTGAGCTCAAAAAATCATATTTTTAGACTCAAATGCAGCTTAATTACTAAGTTTCATAAATTATAGTGTGATTCTGTGGTATTGATATAGTAATTTATGATTTTTTGTTATTTCAAAATGCATATATATAAAACCTAAAAAAATTATTTTATTTTACATCCTCCACATGTGAAATTTGATAAGGCTT